GACACAAAAGCAGAGGACATTGAGAATGAGAGAGAGAGAGAGAGAGACTCGTGATATGTGGGTAAAATGTGGGGCACAATAATGAGAAATGAACGCCTGAGTTGAGACAGTTATATCACTTTATATAGACGCGATATCGATCGATGCAAATGACAAATGACACAAATGGACATGAGTTGAAAGCGTTTGGAGTCCAGGCTTAAACTCACCAGTGGCTCGTTGCTCTTCACGAGCTGCACAATCTTGATGGTCTCCTCGTCCTCGTCCATTTCGATGGGCACCTCCGGCAGATGCGGATAGAAGTCCTTCTGCGCAATGGCATCGTGTGCAAATAGCAGGTGCTGCGAAAGACGGATTCCATTTAATTACATTTCCATTCTCATTTCCGCTACCACCTTTGCTCACCTGCACGTGGGAGTCCTGCAGCAGATGAAATGCCTCCTTGCAGTCGTCGCTTAGATGACAACGCTGCGACAGCTGCTCGAGCACCTCGTACAGCACCTGGGCCGAGGTGGACAGCACGGGCGCGAGACGCTCATCGCGGCCCACCTTGGCCACCTTTGTGTGCACATTGACCAAAGCATTCAGCTCCTTCGACTCCAGCAGGGCCTTCAGAAAGTCTATCTCCTGATCATTGGACAAATTGTCCGATTCCTTTAACGTGGTTATCAACCTTGAAAGCGCTGCAAACGAATGTCTTAACGAGGGCAAAGAGGCGGCATGTGGGCGGCACTTACCTGGATCCCAATTAATGTCTGATGCCATAACTGCAGCTAGCATGCTATAAACACGCACACACTCGCAGCTACACTTGTTCCCTTCGACTCCTTTGGCACTTTATATCTGTAAAAGTCGAAATAGATGAGTGTTAGAAAAATATATTGGCGCCCGAGCAGGGACCTTTTTGCTGAATAGTCCCTGCTCGGGCGCTAGCAATAAAATCCCTGCTCGGGCGCCAGCAAAAGAGTTCCTAATGATTAAGAAATATAAAAATATTTCAGTTAATTAACAAGAATCTGTAGAGCTGGGCACAAAGAAAACTTGTATTTTATTTATGAATTTGGTTACATTATTGTCAGTTCCTTGGGCTAAATAGTTTATTTGAATGCCTCTTACTATAACTTAGGAAAATATCACAAGTAGATCCACAAAAAAGAGAAGAGTATCTTTTTGTAAGTTGTCAGCAGACAGAAGAAGCTGTCATTGAACAGAAGCAGTTCGAATAAGCAACTGAACAATTCACGAACTTAATAAGCCGAACCCCAATATCTTTTAAATAACCAAAATCGATACTCAATTTGAAAGAAACTTATGTAAATTTGGTCATAAACAGAACAATATCCAAGTTGATGCGTGCTGAGAGTCAATTTTCCACAGCTGGCAAAGGAGGCCAAAGAGGACAAAGCAACTTCCCTTCTCCTTGGAGCTGCCTCCCAAGTCAGACAAAGAATTTGGCAACGGGTCGTATGTGTAATGCGTGCTTTTGTTAGACGCAATTTAGCTTCAGCTGGCGTCTGACTGGCGCACAAGAAGCCAAACCCCAGTCTGGACTGTGTAAGAGCTTCTTTTGCCTGTGGCAAATGTCGCAAATGCAATTAGCTGCCATTAAGCCAGTTCCAACTGGGCTGCGCTCCACTTGCCGCTGATTTATGGGGCGGGGTTGTCTCCAACATGCCGCAAATTTATGGCCACTTTCATTGTGACTGGGCTTAGTCTGTTTTTTTTTTTTTGAATCGAAAGCTGGCGCCGTCCTCGTTTAAGTGACAGTCCCATAAATTAGCCCAAGAACTGGAACTGAACAACAAACAAAAATTGCAGCCGACTGCACTGCATACATTAAATGTTCAATGGCTGCGCTTCCTTCCTGTTGCACGTCCTTTGTCCTTTCTACTTTCTTCTTTGTCCAGCCAGCTGGAAAACAAGTTCTGCGCCTGGACAGCTGCCAAGCTGTCCGGCCCAAGAGTTCACTAACACTTTGTGTCCATAATGGGGCCTAAACCCTTTACCTATTGTTAGCTGCCACTCGTTAACACTTTACGGCCAAATGACCAAGGACCTGACCTGTCGACTGGCTGCCCAGCTGCCCAGCTGGACTGTATTGCTGGCAAAGAGTGCTTAGTTTTTTACACACCAAAATACTTGACATAATATTGATAAAAGCAACGCTTATTCAGCTATTCATGAGTACAGGTTACTCGCAGGTGTTAAGGAGGAGATAGTTTCATGAGCTGCTGGCTTTTGTACTGCTTATGTACTGAAAAAAGAATGTGTTCATATATTCCGTATAAATTTGACACAAGTTGGCATCAGATCCATTTGGGATACTTCAAACAGCAATAGTTTGATGAGCTGCAGCTTTTTGCCCTGCTAATGCAGTGAAAAAAGAATGTGTTCATAAATTCTTATAGATATTTTGTACAAGTTACTCGCAGATCCCTTTGGGGTGTTAAAAAGGGCGATAGTTTCATGAGTTGCAGGCTTTTTCCCTGCTAAAGTAGTGAAAAACGAACGTGTTTATAATTTTTTGTACATATTTGTGGCCCAGGCTCAGGCTGCCAAGGATTGGCTTCAGGTGTCATAAATAGCTGTTGCCATGTTGATGAACCTTAAATGACATTCGCATGCTCCAACTTTTGAGGAATACGAATTCGCGGCACGAATAAAACTAATCAATTATCTGCGCTTGTTATGCTTTGTATTTTGTATTTTGTTTTTGGTTTTTGCCCTTGACAGTGGGCAGCCCTTCCGAGTGGACACAGTTGAGGGACAGCTTATCGCTGTTCCAGCTGCCGAGCTGCTCAGCTGGATAAGGGCACTCGTATCTTTAAATGACCTTGAACTATATACTTGTGTGTACACACAATATGTCAAAGGTGGCCCAAAACAACATACTACAGCTGACTCTCTGTCAGGGCTACAATGCAACGACGTCAGCAGCGTGGGTGGCTGGGCGGGCGGGTGGTTATCCATTATTCTTATTGGGTGCAAGCATGTAAACTGTTAGCTAAACGACTGTTCCAATTGGAACGTAACATTTCATGATAGAAATGACAATAATATGGAACTCAGTTCAATGTCTTAAAATAATATCGATGATGTGGTAGTAGATAAACAAACCCCTCAAAAATCTTAGATTGACAACAAATACGATTGAAAAAAGACGGAATACGAATTAATCCGAAATTTGAACAATAAGGGAGTTTAGCTTGAATTTAGTATGCAAACCACTCAGCAATTACTTTAAACAAGTGCAAAGTTATTGAACTACATCTATTCTTGAAATAAGTATTTATGTTCTTGAATTAAGTATACAAATCAGTCAGGGTCTAGAAATCTAAGTAACAGCTCAAAGTTTGTTTCTACTATAATAGTTAAGTTATTTAGTAATCGATACTTGAACTAAGAGCAATATTATTGAACTAACTATACAAATCAGTCAACAAATTCAAAGTTCCATTGGTCTTATATAGTCTTTCTCTATATAGAAATCGGAGATGCAGCTCAACTCTTTGCTACTATAAAAGTTAAGAGCTGCAGGAATATCGTCTCTTACGTTATGTTTTTCAAGTGTTGTGAAACGACGCTGTCTATCAACTTGTCATATGATAACACTAAATACATATGTGCATGTGTGTTTGTGTGTTGAGCCGCAATTATGCTAATTGCATGAGGACTTGAGACCATGCGAAGTGCGTGTTTGCCTTCTTATATGTATATGCATGTGCTTGTTGTTGATGTGCATAACGATACGTGTCAATGGGCGCAGAAAGGAAGTCCATAGGACAAGACAGGTAACACATTATGGGGGAGAGCGAGCGATAGGTAGGGTAGCCCAGACAGGGGGGTTGAAAAATCACAAAATTAAATATATCACAGATTAGATCGCCTGCAGTTCACAAGAACTAGTTACTATTGTAAAAGGAAGTTCGCGAGATCTGGCAACACTGTCAGCAGCGCAGCGCGAGAGAGTGAGCGAATATAAGAGAGCGCGTGTGTGTGTGAATGTAAGAGAGCGCAACAACATATTCGAAAAATTTTCATTTGGGATTTGAATTAACATTGAAAGTAAAACTGCGCGCAGCAGCTTACCTGAGATCAAATGGAAAATATACGCGCAGTGGCTGTTGTTGTTCTTGTTGTTGTTTTTCTTGCTGTTGTTGTTGTTTATGGTTATGTTGCATATGCCTAATGTTTTTTATTTAGTTTTCTTTGCTCGGCGACAAAGTTGACACAACTTTTTGCAGCTTCTGCCGTTTGTCGTTTGTTTTATTTTTAAACAGTTTTCCACTTGGCGCACACACAGACAACCACACACGCGCTATATATATAAGTGTGTGTGTGTGTGCGTGTGTGAATATATGTGTCAAATTTGTAGCTCAGTTTTTGTTGCTATTTTTAGTAAGCTCCACAAGGATTTCGGTTGAATTTGATTTGTTATTGAACCTGAGCTTCACCTGCCGTGTGGCGTGCTGCAAGTGCGGCTGCAGCTCGTGCAACTAAACTAAAAGCGGCGGCGGCAGCGCGTGCGAGCGAGCGAGAGATTGTGTGTGTGTGTGTGAGACAGAAAGAGAGAGAGCGAGAGCGCGCTGTCAATGTTCACGACGAGCGACTGCAGCGAGCGACTGACTCGAACTGTGGCCAAGTCGCCTGGCTAACTGTCTGGCTGCCCCATTCAGAAAAAAAGCACTCACAGACACACACACACACACACACACACACGCGCACACGCACACAGACACAACCACCATTAACAGCCGCAGCAGCGCCCGAGCAGGGTGGAAAGTGCGCATGTCAGCAAAACGCGCGAGTACAATCATAAATACAGGGTGTCTTCTTACGCTTCGGTTATATTTGCTAAACACAATTATTTTTCAAATGTTTTATTTATAATAATATTTAATATTTTTATAAACGCATATATATAACACTCCGCACAATCAAAACTACAGGGTGTCCCATTACGCTTTGGCTTTATTTAACATAGACTTAACACTTCAATTTTAACCAAGCAGCGCACCGCCGCCCGCACCACCCAGTACACCGGCACCGCCAAAGCCACCGACCACCTTCTTGTCGTAGCGTGCGCGAAAGCCACCGCCGCCAAAGCCTCCGACGCCGCCGCCCAGGCCATGACCCAGGCCACCTTTAAAGCCGCCTCCACCAAAGGCACGCCCCCTGATGCGATAACTCTCGCGATAGCTGCCAAAGCCGCCTCCAAAGCCGCCGCCAAAACCAGCGACACCGCCGCCGCCGCCCAGTGCGGCCAGGCCCAGCGCCTGCGGCTGCTGTTGTATGATGGGCACCTGCTGTACAATTGGCACCTGTTGCACCACCGGCACCTGCTGCAGACCAATGTCCAGGCCGCTGGCTGCCAGCGCAGCAGCACAGATCAGCAGCACTTGAAGATAGCAACTCATCTTGACCAGGTCGAGTTGAGCACGTTGTCTGACGCCGGCGGCGTAGGCCTTCGCGTTTTTATGCTGCTCGGTGAGGTGCGGTGCGTCATGCAGCAGATCTCCAAAAATCCCGCCATCTATGCTGTGTTTGTACACGCATTAACCAAGGCGTCGCCATGCACGTGGCCGGGGCTGACCTTCACTCAGTTGTGATAGCTGATCAGGTGTGAACTGTACACTGAGGAAAATATTCCAATTTGTTAAGTTCTATATATAAAACTGACGGACTGACTGATTGACCAAACCCAAACTAGGAAGCTGAAATGTTCACTTTAGTTACTTTATATATGGATGATGCATTTGCACTTTGGGCAATTCCACCCGCAACAGTGGAAAATGAGCGGAAAACGCTTGTATGACAGTTTATTGTTTACCGTTTGAGCGAGTTTATTTTAAACGGGCCACGGGCAAAGCCGGGTAACACCCGCTGGTCTTACTATATTTAAAGTCTTAAACTGTTCCCATTTATTAGCTTTTATATTTCTTTACGGGTAAACTTAATACGAGATTGCTCTCAGTGTAAGATGGGAAACACATTTCGAGTTGTCCACGTACATGGACTTGGGGAATTTTGGCGTCCTACGATTTGTGAATTGTTAGCGCAAACAGGCCAAAGCTAAGGCTGAGCCCCAAACAAACGTGGCCCACTAATTAATTTGCATAAATAACCCGACTTGGGTTGGGGCTAGTTCAGTAGTTGAGCCCAAGATGCGACGACAAAAGGTTTACATGCTGATCTTGGCACTTCTCGTTGTGTTGTTGGCGGCCACGCCCATTGAACTTGTGCGCAAGACGCGCCACATTGGCGGCATCGGCGGCGGCATAGTGGGCGGTGGTTTTGTGGGCAGCGGCATTGTGGGCGGCGGCGGTGGCTACGTTGCGGCACCTGCCATACAAACGGTGCCCGTTATAAGCACGGTGCCTGTTATCACCACGGTGCCTGTGGTCTCAACCATTTCGACAGTCCAAACGATTCCCAGCTTTGGCTATGGAGGGGGCTACGGAGGAGGCTACGGAGGAGGCTACGGAGGTGGCTACGGAGGTGGCTACGGAGGTGGCTACGGAGGAGGTCTCGGTGGTGGAAGCTTTGTTGGCGGCGGCATTGGTTTCGCCAAGCTCAAAGGATTCGGCTTTGGCGGCGGCTTTTTGGGCTGAATAAAAACTCAAGTCTAAACCAAGAATCAACAAAAGTGTTTCGAATTGTGAATAAATATCTGTGTATAAGTAAATAAGTATGTACATATATATGTGTGTGTGTGTGTCTTGACTTGATGATGCTGCAGTTTCTTTAGAGCTGAGCGTTTGCCTTTGTCCCAGCTTCGTTTTACATTTTGTGCGCTATTTGTTTGCTTATGTTGTCATAGCTCAAGCTAAATAAAAATAAACAACAAATAGCTGCTCTTTAATGTGCAGTCTCCAAGTGCTTTTTTTTATGAAAAGATCAGCGGCAGCTGTACTTAGAGCGAGCCGTGAATTTCAATTAGAGTAGACGCCAGTTTCCAATTTCATTTAAGAGTGAATTGGCGCGTGGAATATGAGCGTATTCGAGAAGAATCTGTTTGAAATTAGGAGATTAAAGATACATATGCGGGTGTATGGGATGATTAACTAACTAAATGATGGTTATCTATAGATAATTGTTGCGTTTCAGCTGCTTTCTAGCCATGCCCAAAGATAATCAGCTGGAAGCAGCTAAAATTATAGATCCCTTTAGCTGTTTTCTTGGGCATCTCCTATTTGTTCCTTGCTAGTTTCTGTTGAGAAAATTAATTGAGCTACTTCTAACTTACTAAAAGAATATTATCTATAGATAGTTATTGTCAATTCAGCTTTTTTCTAGCTAAGTAATTTATAAACCCATTTAGTCTTTTTTTGAGCATCTCTATTTGCTGATTTGCTCAGAAAAATATTGTAGCTATATTTAGCTATTTTCAACATTGGATTTAGCTGTTTTAATTGCTGTTCTAGGTCTCCATTCCACTGTGCACGTTCGCACAGACTTCCGCATCCATCAACAGCACTTTGTGCTCGACCGAAGATTGGTTCAATTTCAAGTAAACAACTTAAGCACTCGCTTTTTGCTCTCAACAATAATTAGTTTTGGCATTTGTGGTGCGGCAAAATAATTGTGTAAAAAAGAAGAAATATAAAAAAACCTTTCAATGACAATCCAAAAATGCCATTGAACCCCCGCTTTCAATAGCTTTAAGCCGCCAAGTATTTGGCTATAAATTAAAGCGCCGCTGACAGCGCACTTTTATTCGGTTCTGGCTGTGAATAGAATGGAATACTCAAAGATTTGTCTAATGCTCTGCATCTGTGTGGTGCTCGGCGGTGCGGAGCCGGAGCAGCACGAGCTGGAGGAGTCAAAGGCGCTGCCCGCGGAGCTGCTGGCTGCCGGAGACAATGCGCTGGGGGATGTGGATGCGAGCTCTATTGCGGCTGCTCCTGCGGAGCAGGGCGCGCGCAAGGTGCGTCAGTACTTTGGTGTCCCTCCGCCGCCCTTCTTTGGACCACCGCCGCCGCCCTACTTTGGTGGCTTTGGCGGCGGCTACGGTGGCTACGGCGGCTACGGCTTTGGCGGCGGCTATCAGCGCACGCGGATTGTCACGCGCACCCGTGTCCGTGGCGGCTATGGTGGTTTTGGTGGCGGTTTTGGTGGCTTCGGCGGCGGCTACTATGGTTAAAGTTTTTGCCATTTCGTTTGGCAGTTGATTTCAATTTGTGATATTCCCATTGTGCGGCACAGCAATAAATGTGTGATTTTATGTTTGTTTGAGCAATTGATGTGAGTTTTTATACCCTGTACGTGTAAGAAGGTGGCTAAAAGGAGTTTGAATTTGTGCAAATTTATGTAACAGGCACATTAAATGTATATTATATGCATATAAATAAATATGTATAACTTAACAAACAACTTCTTGTATAATCGATACTTGATCGATAACTTATCGGTAACTGATCGATAAGCTCACTTGCCCAAAATCAATAATTATCGGCTTTGAACTGCGCACTTTTAAGCATTACTCAAAGAATGTATGAGCTAGTCGCATAGAGTAGATGTACCTACAGAGTATGTGGGCTATTGGGTAACTCCTAGTCGATCTCACTGGCCAATAGCACCCATCTCAGAGTCCATCAAGTGTATATATATTATATATATATCGATAAATAAATAAATAGGTCTGTGCTAAAGATTAAAGACAATTTCTCGTTTGATCGATAAGTGATCGATAACCACACTTGCCCAAAATCGATAACTATCGGCCTGAAGCTGCGGCTTTTTAAGCATGACTCGAGGATTTTTAAGCAGATACAATTTGCTGATATGTTAGACTGGCTACAGGGTAGCTCCTGGTCGTTCTCACTGTCCAAGTGCTCACTTGTTATGCATCATTGGGCCAAGGAGTGCCCGCGTTTTATGATGGGAAAGTGGTCAAGTGCCATCGAAGAGTTGTGCTTATAAATGAGTTAGACTTGGCTCAGTTTTGATTTGGGCTTAAAATGTTGCGCGTGATTTGCCTATTGCTGCTGCTGTGTGGCCTTGTCTCTGCCTTGGATGAGCTGGAGTACGATGCTCTGGTGGCGCCACCAGCTCCGGGTAGGCCTTAAAGTTGCACAGTTAACTTTTCAGCTAAATAAAGCCCATTTCCCAACACTTTTCAGCGCACAAGCCTTCGCTGAGTTTGTGGCGCGGCCTTGTGGGTCAGGTGCGTGAGGTCATAGGTCACTGGCGCAGCACCACCAAACGGCCACGCCCACATCTACGCAGCACTACACCTGCAATCGAGTCGGATGCCGAGCTGCAGTTTTACGGCGCTTTGAATCCCATTTATCAAACACAAAACTTTTGAGTTTTTCAATTAATACTAGAATTTGTTTGCGAGAAATAAAAATATAAATTTAAGCCTAGGCATTAGAAATGTTTGTTGAAAAGTCCCTTGAAGCCGCCTAGGCCGCCTCCAAAGCCATGTCCGCCAAAGCCGCCGCCAAAGCCGTGTCCGCCAAAGCCATGGCCCAGAACCAAGCTACCGAAGCCGCCAAACTTGCCGCCCAGGCCGCCACCAAAGCCGCCCAATCCCAGGCCGCGTGCCACACGCACGCTCTCCGCCTCCGGCAACGGCTGCTGCTTCAAGTCCAAATCCACATCCAGCAGACTCAGGGGCTCCACAGGCGCTGCCCAGCTGCTGCTCAGGGCCAGCAGCAGGAGAAGAAGACTCAGCACGGGAAATTTCATTTTTTTTTTTTGGTTAGTTTTGGTTTTAGTTAAGCTGTTGGCCGATTTGTACTTGATCTGCAAATGCGAGAGATTCATGCCTATATATAGAGGGACACATTGCTTCTGACCAGCTTCTTCTGCTCTGGGCGCGGCTCGTGCGTGTAGCTGCTAATTGCGTGTGTCCACAATTTGCAACATTTACTTGTTGTTGTTTTTCATACCAAAAATATGCTTTCATTCATTGATTTTTTGACTGATTATGCGCTGTTCTCCAACCGCGCGAAGCAAGTATATCGAGTGTGTGTCATCCTCGATTGTACACTGAACAAAATTGGGCGCTACCCAATCCAAAATATATACAAATTATAAGGTGAGTGTAACAAATTCGACAAATTTTCTTAATTCAATTTGAATTTACAAATGAAATTATAAGACAATTTTAAGCTTGCTGAAACAAGTTCCGATATTCAAATTTTTTACTTCGACTTTTCCCATTTATCATAAAATTATAATTATTTTAAAAAAATACATGTTTATTGAAAACTGAAACATTTAATTTTCGAATACAATTGTCTTTATACTAAATTTTTATGTTATTCTTATAATCATAAATTCAATAATTTTCTTTGCAGAAAAATTGGACTTTAAATGTTGTATAAGGCTTGTATTTCCTGAACTTCAACTGATTATAATAAGAAACACTATTTACGCTGTTGTTTAACACTGAAAACAGCGCATCTCGCAGTCGGTAAGTCCTAGCTTTATCTTCATTTTGAACCAAAGTTCGTTTGGGTTGGGTTAGCTTCTGGCTCTGGCTGGGTCTGGAGTTTGCTTAGGTCTTTAGCTGCCGGTTACATCATGTTTGCGGTTGTCTTTACCGCCTGCTCGTGTCCAGATGTGGACTTGAAACGTAATCCAATTGACCTTAGCAACAGACGTCTTCTGTTTGACTATCGATTTGGTAAATAAACCAGGTCCATTTATTTATGCTATTTACATCTAAGAAAAATCTTATGAGCAGCAAATAGTTATATATATATATGGGAGATGTCATAAAGCTCTTTGGCTAAGTCGGTTAGTTGGATACGAAACTCGGCAGTAGGACGGGCAAGTAGAGAGGAGATATGTTTGTTGCAATTTTAGAACTTGTTTGGGCGTGTTATTACCTGCTCCCGCCCCCTGTTGGAGCTGTAGTTCCTCAGTTGGTGGCGCGTTTAAGAAACAAAGCTAGTTTTAACACGATTCGTTTTTTGTGCATTTTTTGTAGACTGTCGCAATGTTTTATTGTGCTAATTGGCAGTTGATTTGCTTAACATCTAGTTTGGCGCAGCAGCAGACGCTTGCGATGTCTGCGCACATACTGCTTGTTGCTCTTCTTCTTCTTTTTGTTGTTGTTGTTGTGGAACTTGTTGTCACTCCACCAGCGCCGCCTGTGCTTGTCCAGCTGTGGTACCTCGGTGGCCTCCAGCTGGCTGATGCGTGGCCTGCGCACCGTGTCCTGGACAAAGGCGCGCGACCAGACCAGCGGATCCAGGCTGGCATCGTAGTTGGCGTCGTTGTTGTTGTGGCGCCACCAGGGCATTGCCTCGCTCTGTTGCAGCAGCGGCAGCAGCAATAGCAATAGCCACAAATAGCTGCAAGTTGCCGATGTGTAAATAATTCCACCAAATGCGCAGCGCATTGCGATGTGTGTCCCACTTGCCTCGCGTCTAAACTAGAAACTGTTGCACATGGCCTGCCCTGCTTCGCGTCTTATATGGCCTGCTCGGGGCTCTGGATTACCCTCACAGCTCAGCTCTGGGCAAATGCAACAATATCTTCTACAAATAGACCAAAAACCTTTTGCATGCTTCACATGGCTTTAAGAGCATTTACAGATTAGCTGTGCCATACCTGCCTCGCACAAGCATTTACACTCACACACACACACACACGCAGTCGTGTTTAAGTTAAAAATGTTGCGCAGGTCAACAACAAAAATTGTGTGTTTCAGTTTTCAATTCTTTTCAATTCAAAAGACATACAACAACAAAAGTGTTATCAATCATAAGTATAAGACAATCTGATATCGTATTCAATTTCAAGAAACTAGAAAAATTACGCGGCGTTTCCCAGTTGAAACTTGTTATAGTTGAACTAGTGACTTCACGCTTGGTAGTTCAATGCTCAGCATTCGCATACCCTACATATTTTCATAGCTAGATTAAAAATACGTGGAAGCAGCAACGGCCTCTTTAATTGTGATGAGGAACTTAAACTCTTTACAAGAAACTTGAATTACGCGCCCTCGCGCGTCCCCTCAATAAAATCAATAAATGGCAGTTGAACCAGCGACTTCATGCTTGACGGTACAACGCTCATAGACCTAATGACTCATGACAACTGCATGATATATTAGTTATTGATACTGATTGAGGATTCATACAGTTCATGGAGTAACACATTTTAAGACAAAATTACAATACCCTGTACAGCTGATAAAGGCATCTGAAAATTTCCCGTTAAGCTGGTCAAATATGCATTTATTTCAATCGAATGCCTTTAAACACATTCTTAAAGAAGTTTTCCACGTTGTGGCCGCGTCTACCCTTTAAGCACATACATACCCTACCTAAACTCGAGCTCAGGTAGTTCAGCGCACAATTCTTATCCGTGCCTATCTTATCTATACGCTATATTGAGACCCATTGAATTTCGCAATGGGTCGCTTTATGTTTTTGTTGCGCGCTAATGTTTCCGTGTAAAACAACATGTGTCATTGTAAGTCGACGAACAATGGGATCCTAAATTTCACTTTCTAAACGAGGTACTCGAGCCAATTGCCAAGTGACTAACAAATTGCTGCCTTTACAGTTGACATAGGTATAATGTGTGTTTGTGTGTGCACAACTCTTTCGGGTTAGCTGGTCAACACTTGAGCTTGAAGACACGACTTAACCGATTCGAGTCGCCGCTGCCTTGCACTTGACACCGACTCCGACAGCGAGTCCGACTCCGATTGGCAGTGCAATTAGCGAGTGTGGCCTTTTCGGAAGACTGTGAAATATGCGCAAGTAGAGAAACCAGTTAACGGCAGCACGAGGGCAGCGGGGGCTGTGGCAGTGGCCAAATCCCAAGTCCCAGTTAGCCCACTTTCGACTAACAGCAATTGACACACAGCCCCGTTGCAGCAGCAGCAACAACTGTGTGGCATGTGTGGCACGACGCGGCAAAAGTGGCACAGCGAACGGTTGCATAAAAGCAGCAGCTGGCCAGAGTTGTGCCCACAGTACGCGACCGAAGTTCTAGACAAGATGTGCCACAAATTTTCGCCGCTGCTGCTGCTGGTCTGGCTGTGCCTCATCCTGGCCAGTGCCGTGGCGCAACAGGCGCGTCTGCGCCTTCCACCCAGCTACAATATGCGGCTCGGGGCATTGCCCACGCGTTTCGTAGGCAAAGGTGCCTATACGCTGTCTGCCAAGCGGGCGGCGACGCCGCCCAAGTGGCAGCAGCCGTTGTTGCAACAACAACAACAACTGCAGCAACAACAACAGCAACAACAACAGCAGCAACAGCGCATGAAGCTCTTCCAGTGGGCCACAATGGGCGGCAAAAAGTACAATTAATGTTCGTGCAATATATATTTAGCTAAATAAATAAAATAAATAATTTATGCAAATTGTTGGAAATAAATTAGAAGCCGGGCGCATAGCTGCGCAATTTCATACGCTCCAGCAGCCCGTTGCCTCCATCGACGCCTGCGGCCATGCCTCCAAAGTAGCTGGGCAGTGGCCCGGCAGCCACCTGACCATATAGTCCTCCGGCCTGCATATTGATGATGTTGTTCAGCGCCGCAAAGTTGTCCAGCGTGGGCTGTGGGCCAAAGCCGGCGCCCAGTTGGGGATTTGCGTACAAGGGATTGCCGTACATGAAGCCAGCTGTGGGTGCGCCCAGGCCGAAGCCAGCTGTGGATGCGCCCAGGCCGAAGCCAGCTGTGGGCGCGCCTAGTCCGAAGCCAGGGTTGGTGCCAGCGCCTGCGCCCAGACCGAAGCCCATGCCTGGTTCGCCCGGATAGCCGCTGGCAATGCTCGTCTGCAGACCAGTTCCAGCCAGTCCGCTTAGGCCCAGGAATGGCATCATGCCGGCCTGATAGCCGGGATACTGTGCCAGCTGCATGTTGATGCCTCCGCCCAGTGCCATGGGACTCATGGCCATCATGCCGGCCATGGGCATGGAAGCAGGCGTCATATTGGCCGTGCTCGCTGCCAGCATCTTGACATCCGCCTCCGCAGCAGCTGCCGGGCTAGACTTCAGCTGTCGCTGTTCACGTGCCTCGGCATTCACGGGCTGCGCCTGACAGCTGCTCAGCAACAGCACGGCGATCAGCAGCAGTAAGGATGACTTATGGGCGATAGACTTCATTGTGCTAACTCTGGTCTTGGTGAACTGTTTGTTTCCGGCACGCTGGAGTCGGCTTTTATGCGAGGCTGGCGGAAACTTTCTATATTGCAATTGGTTTTCTTTTTGGCTCATAAAAATTTGGCCAAAGTGAGTTTTTACGTTTTTATGACAGTAGCAAAAAAAAAAAATTTTTTTTTACAAAAAACTAAAAAATTTGAAGTCGCGCTCAGTTTCTGGGTTTTGTAATCTGCTTATAAACAATTCGCACATTTTGCCTAATGCCAACCGCAAATAAGGTGCTAAATGTCTCAGACGGCGGCTGGGCAGAAAATTGGTTTTTATTTTATTTTCGTCACAAATCAGCGCCGTGGTGAGTTGAACAAAGTGAAATGCGAGCGTAGTTTTTAATCTGTTGATTGCTTTGTAAAACGAAAGACTCAGGCAACGAACTTGTTTTGATTTATCGCATGCATGCCTGAAAGTATGCTGGCAAATTTAATTGTCAATTGACTCATGATTGGCAAAGGTTCTAGTTAAATTACATCATTTGAGTTGAGTTATATTTTAAAGCTTGTAAACACACATATTGATTGCGTTGGAAAACGAAAGACTTAGGCAACAAACTTGTTTTTGTTTCGCATGCAGACTCGAAAATATTCTGAAAAATTAATGGACTATGCACAGCTTGGTCGAATTTTAAGCTTAATGCACATATGTATATTTTTTTAATATATAAATGTCAATACATTTAATGAAGCTGATCGATCATAAATCATTCGAAGGCTTGTAAAGACCTAACAATTGAAGGCTTTGAGATTAAAAAAATATTTTTGTTTTACATCTGTCTGGGCTAGTTTTTTATTTTAGTTATGTTATGTAACTCTAATTAGTCTAATGTTAAGTTTAATATAAAATCAATAAAGTTAGGGTGATTATATAAATCGATATGAAAGATCGATTGGATGAGATCCTCGCAATCTACTGTGCTATTAGGAGTCTGGATTGGGAACTTTATGCACTTATGAATACATTGGTCTCACTTTAGGGATTATGACACGCAGAGATAAATCTCGTTTTCAAAAGTGTCCGTAAAAAGAGCATAGAAAAGGCATTGTATAATATTCTTGATCTTTATCTTCATTTAATTCTGTTTAATTCGGTTTAATTGTTGTTTAATTTTCATTTCTTTGTTACTAACATATATTATAAAAGACAATAAATAATTAGTATAAATAAATACTATGTACAGCTACACCTGTGCGAATGCCTTAACTAAAATATATACTCCATGTATTACGTCCAGTTTGAGTTGAGAGAGTCTTCGAAATCCGTAAATTATTTGCCAAAGCTGTCTGTGTAGGCAGCGCGTTCCCTATCCGCACGATTTGTACGCGCCTCGTAGGAGTCGTAGGCGAGGAAACGTTGCTCCGGCGCATCGGAGCGACGATGTCCGTCCGGGGAACTGGGATTGTTGTGATGGTAGCCATAGACAACGCTGCTGGGATAGCAGATGTAATAATCATTTTGATAGCTGCCGCGTTTTGTGCGCACTGGTTGTCCGCTAATGTCGCTGGGCGAGCTGATGGCCTGGTAGGGATTGTTGAGGGGCGCTGCCTGGGACAGGCACAATGTGGCCAGGATGAGAGCGAATGCCCAGGTGTAGTTCATGTTGTGTGTGTGTGTGGGTGTAGGAGAATATCTTTAAGAATTATTCAATTGGAGAATTCTTTTAACTGGCGGATTTGTTGCTGTTGCTGCTGTTGATGTGCTACTGTTGTAGTTCCTTGAGGTTCTGTGCCGTTTCAGTAGGCGTACCGCCCGTTTTATACATCAACTCACACTTCACACTATGCGCTAATTAATATGGCAGACAGACAACGCTCCAGCAGAAGCACTAATTCCAGTTTCGTTGCGCATCTTTCCATTCGATTAGCACCCCGAAACGAATGCATACAACATTTCCGCCCAGGCGGCGTTTAGGGGGTGTTTCATATGACGTCAAACCCAGCGAGAGATGATCCATAAGCTTGGCATTTATGAGCTCCTAATTTGTGGTTGATTATATATTTTGTTGCGGTAGGCGCTGCTCGGAGCCCTGCGAATGAGTCAACAGCTAGATATAGTTAAATTTAGTCTGGCATCTAGTTTCGCTAAGAGATCTTAACTGCATTGCCAAATATGGGCTTTTTTTTTGTGGAAACTAAGTATAGTTCATTGTGTTTATTTGCATTGTCGCGAAGTGCATTACTCGCAAATAAAAACAAATAGGCGCTAATTAGCCTTTTACTATAGGAGTAAAAGGCTATGCATATATACTATGTGAATCACATTTCCCAAGTGTCAGCTATTTCCGTGTAATTCTCTCATTAGGCCGAGTGCAAAATATTTGATTTAACTAATTATTCATGAATCAGCGCGGCTTTATTATTAAGTAAATCATCCCGGCGGCATACCTGAACTGTCCCCGTGCCAGGAGCCAACAGGCACAGTTTTTATAGAGAAAAAAGAGAGGAAACTTCGCTTTGCAAGTGTGGAAAATATTTGCATGTCTTAAATGTCTATCTTTTAATGTCAATCCATTCTATTTACTTCTAAAGATGTAAATAAATATTTTGGGTGGCAAAAATTGTGATTGCTTTTGTCAAAATGCTTCAAAGTTTATAATTCAGAGTCTTAAATGCAAGCTCAAAAAGGCTTAACATACCTAAAACTAACTATTATTTGCCTGAGTTATTCAAAGGCAACAACAAAATATTGTTTTATTCAGAACAGACCCATTTGAATCAGTTTCTATATAATGGTAATTTAATGGCTTTTGGCTAATAAATAATTTTGCTTGAAAATTTCAATCAAAAACCAATTATTTAGTCCGTTTTATTTATTACGCTGCTTAGCCCGAAAAAGTTTCTGACTAATTAAATCATTTATCACTTTTTTGTTTTTGTTTTTTTATTTTGTGTGGAGAATAAATCATTTCAAGCTGTAAAACTGGTAAATTCGATTCTGTCTGAGCATATTTGACAAAAGTCTCAGTTTCAGTTTCGCTTTTTAAGCCAGGCCCCAAAAATAATTCGCACATCCGATTTTATTTTATGAGTATTACGTTATATATTTTCGGGCAGTTTTTAATTGAAGTCAACGGAATATTTTGAGCAACCCGTTGGAATATTTCTGGGTGTTACATTATTTTGCAGTGCGTTAAAAATCAAATCTTCGCATTCAGCAGCTATTTTTTGATTAATAGTATTATTGTTAATGCCATTTTTGTTGTTATTTGTTTTTCGAGCGCAAAACCGGCTGCCAGAAGGCGTGAACATTTTAGATATATATTTGCATCTGTCTCAGAAGCGCGCTTGACTGTTTTTTCGTTTTTGTTTTTTATTGTGATTTGTTTTGTTTTTACATCAAATTCGCCTATTTGCCATAAAAGTTGCCGCTAGCTGAGGCTGAGGCCGAGGCAGAGGCTGAGGCACTGCCGCCTCCGAAGCCGCCGCCGCGTCGTCCAAAGCCACCGCCGGGATAGCCACCGCCAAAGCCACCGCCCGGATAGCCGCCGCCAAAGCCGCCGCCCGGATAACCGCCATAGCCGCCGCCGCCAAAGCCGGGACGTCCAAAGCCGCCACCGCCGCAGCAGAATCCGCCGCCGCCGCCAAAGTGACGTGCAAGACGCACTCCGTCGACATCATTGCCGGCCGGAGCGTCCACCTGCTCGAGTGTGAGCTGCTCCTCGACCGGCTCCAGCGGATGGGCACAGACACTGGCCAAGGCCAGGCAGCTGATTAAGGCTAGCACCACAAACTGTTTCATCTTTGGGATAACAATTGCTTCTATTTGGGGTAGATCGCGAGCCGAGATCTTTTATAGTCGTCGACTTTTTGACTGGCCACGCGGGGATGCACCGCACGGAACCACAGAACTGCCATGTGATTCTGATTGGCTCATCCTGCCAAAACGAATCATTAGCTCCAGCATCTATCATTATTTTGTTTTTCTGTTTTTCTGCTTTTGATGACTTCACCAGCATATGTAAGCACGCGGCCAGCGTAATTCCCGGACCCCTAAGGCGCTCAGACAATTTGGTTGCTGCCCATCCCCCCGCAACATCTTTACCCCTTCACTCCCCCACGCTCACTTTTCACATACATTTGTCATGTTGGCCTAGAGCCAAAGACCTACATTGTTGCAGCTTGTTGTTAAGACGCGGCAAATTAAAAACTTCTCACAATGTTTCTATAAACAAAACACTTGGCCACTTCACGTGGGGGACTCACTCTTCTAATACCCTGTAAGAAATGTCAGCAAGAAGGTGGTTGGACTCGCCGGAAAGCCAACATAAAGGAGTTTAACTGGGTTAATTATCTAAAGTAGAACATGGGAACAAGCTTTTCAGCAGCTGATATGCAAAGAATATAAAAAACATATTTATTAAATAAATTTTCTAGAGTATTTAGATGTTGGGCACACACATTCTATACACATTTTATGCCCTTGTTAAAGTTATTATTAATCTCACGAAATGTGTAATGCATATAAAGAGATGGCTTTGCATAGGTTCGGCCAGATCGTAACCCTATATGATATGGCTTTTTTGAATTGAAGATTTTTTAAAAATTAAGTTCTCTTATGAACAACTTTTAAGTTTGACATATTTAGGAGTCTAACTAGACTACTATATCTGCAAAGTGATATCAGATTGAGGTGCTATATTTTGTGACTCCTATGCGAATAATCGGGAAGTAAGAAGTCTTCTTATAAAACTATATGCAGCCATAGGCCCAGCTTCTGCAGGGTATTAAGAGTTCGACGTGCCGTTTCTTTCTATTCTCGTTATGCCTGCGTTGAGAGGCAATCGAAAATTATTAAAAACTTGTTAAGAGCTCGGATTACTGACCTTTCAAAGTGTTTGCCGAACTGCGCAGTAAAAGATCAGAATTTTACTTATATCATTTTTTATTCTGGCACAATAAAAGGCAACGTGTTTTGACACAGGCATAAAGTGAACATTTATTAAAAGTAGTTAATTTGTTTTTATTTTCGTTTTTACTTAAAACAAGTGCCTGTCTAATGAGCGGATTAGCACTAGATCAGCCGAAGCTAACTAATAAGGCAAGCTAATCAAATAATGAAATTGAAGAGTATTAAATATAGTTCAGTTAGAGAATATTTACTTAATGTTTCAGGAGTCTACATAAAGACTATGCCTTAACGATTGTCCTGAATTTAATATTTTTTTAAGAGCAGAAATTTGCGATACAAAAATGTTTGTGATGCCCTTTTAAAGCATATTTCACAATTTATTATTGTTGCATAATTTTGGGCTCTGGGAATAGTCTAGTCGATTGATCTTATTTAATAATTCATTTTGCCAAACATTATAAACCTTAAATTTTCTCTCAGTGTTGTCTGCAATTTGCACACACTTTTTGTGAACTGAATAAAATATTGTGACGTCTAGTTGACAGTGGGATAAAAATTGTAAACAAAACGTAAGTCAATTTGATGAGACCGAAAACTGGTTGTTAAACAGCCCCCGAAATGACGCATTACAGCCCACTATTAAATATAATTGGGGGATCACATGATAAAAAAAGTCAAATTCATTACATTCATTTTAATTGGTTTCCCACAGTCACAGACTATACTCGATCGAAACGATTTGCCCAAATAAATTGTTTTTCAATTGGGCTTAGTTTTTTTTTTTTTTTTTAGATAATATCAGTTCAGTTTTTAGATAATATTAATCCCTACTGGATAAAGAAAATATCTGAGCTGAGCTTTAATTAAAGTATTTGGCTAAGTTTCTGTTTATTTTTCTGATTGTTACCAAGTTGACTTAGTTAATTCCATTGAAAGCAAATACAATTGTGGACTTCTAAAGATTTCTTTAAGTTTAATTCCTATAAAGCAAACAAGTTTCATAAAAGCTAAAAACAAACTTATGAAAAACCCGCGGAAGTTAACAAAAACTACAGAAAAAAAAAACGCGTTAACGGTGTGAAACAGTTTTTTATATACCCTACACCCATTACAAAGTGGGTCAGATGGGGTATATTGTTTTTGTGCGAATGTGTGTAAAGTGCAAAGTGCGACAGATTGAAAAATAAAAAAAAATATCAAGTCCAAATCTTGGATAGCATCAACAAACTAATCGATAGTCTGTCTGTCTTTCGTTCTCAGAGACTTTATGTTCTAGAAATTATAGAATAATACTATTTAGCAAGCTTGTCTGATATTAGTTATTATTAATTTTAAGCCAACTTGGCTTAGCCTGGCTTTTTAGAGCATATCTCTGTGCTTCGAGCTAACTATGCAAATGTTTGAGCAGCTGCCAGCTGAAAACCGGATATCTCCTAGTCGAGCACTCTATTTAGATCTTAAAAATGTATTCTTTATTGTAGAGGGTATTATCATTATGTCAACAAATATGTCACGCATAGAAACAGCCGGCCCCGACAAAGTATATACAGTAAAAATTATTATACAAAGTAAAAAGCTCATACAATTTGGTCAACTATTGTAGGGGCATAGTAGGGCATATCACGGAATAATATAAGTATAATACCATTATATGGAAAACTTTTTTGTTTTTCGAGATATCTTGAACAAGCCCATCAATTATGGGCTTTACTATACTAACAATACGTCTTCAAAGCCTTGATCGATCGAACTCTTGTTCTATACGCTTGGCATTAAAGGGTATTTTATCTTCATTCTGTTTTCTTGTGCATTTTGCTATTTTTGATTGTTACCTATTTGGTCAATATTTGCCAAAACGTTGAGCAAGGTCAATGTCAGGCGTCTGCCGTCTTTGGAGCATGCGTGAAAGCATGGAACCAGAACCAGTCCATGACGCGCTGCCGCGACTCCGGCGCGACTCCAACGCGACTTTGGCGCGTTTTAGTAACGTTTTAGCGGCGTTTTGTTAGCGTGTGCGTGCGAGCTGTCGTTGAATTTTGGTAACTTTCGGATGCGCTGAAGGTCTGCCAGTTTCCGTCACATATTTGGCCAAATGCTCAAGAACAGTTGTTAGGGGCGTGGCCTCTTCAGCCAGCATATAAAACTAAATTGGACAATGTGCAGCAACTTTAGTTGCCAGTCGTCAGGTGCCGCAGCCTGACTTTAATCCAACGGAATGTATTTGCCGGCGCGTTTCTGCCTGCTTAGTGTGCTCTTCGCCCTGGCTAGTGGCCAGAGGAGCAAGCCGCGTCCACAGGGACGCACATTGGGTCTGCTCTCGCCGCTGCTGTTCGGTTCCGCGGGGCCATTGTTCGATGCGCCAGTGGCGCCTCTGGGCGGCGTGAGTGGAGGCGGGGTGGCGGCTGGCGCGGGCAGTGGCACGCAGTCGGATCCGTACGGAGGAGGAGGATACGGAGGCGGTGGAGGAGGAGGAGGAGGATACGGAGGTGGAGGATATGTAGGCGGAGGTTATCCTGGTTATGGCTATGGCAGCGTCTACGGTTACAGGCCCAACTATGGATTTGGCTTGGGTTTGGGCTATCCGGGCCTGGCTCAGAGCTATTATGGCTATCCGGGCTATGGCCTCTACAGGCCCAGCTACAACTACAACTACGGCGGCTATCAGCGACCCGTGCAATATCCGGGCAACTATTACGGCTCCAGGCCAAACTACGGCAATTACAACAACTACAACAATAATTATGGAAACAGACCTTCCTCCTACGGCAGCTACGCGACAGCCGTGCCGCCAATCAGCGCCAATCCAAGCGCGGGCGTGTCACCTGGTGTCGGCGCTGGCTCAGGCGCTGGAGCTGGAGCTGGTTCACAGCTCAACACAGCGCAGGCAGCGCAGCTGGCAGGCCTGCTGGGCCAAGCGCTGGGCAGCAGCTTGCGACCCTTGTTGGCCAATGGCGGCGGCGGTGCAGCCGGAGCTGCCGGAGGCGCCAATCCTCAGGCGCTGAGCGGTCTCTTGGGCTTGTTGGGCTGAAGGTAGCTCCAAAAGGAACTGGCTAACAGACTAGTCTGCGATTATCGAATAGAATATCTCATTAACAAAGTATTTTTAATTTAAGTTTGTTCAGTTATATTAAACACATAAAATTTCTATATGTAAGACTGTTTGGCATAGGTCAAAATTTCCCAACCTCATAGCTCCATCAAATCTCATTTGATTTTCACGACTTTTGGCTCCTTGTTCGTGGTTTGGCCTCTAGATCAATTTGAGATCTAAATCTGGTCATTTTTGTCCTGGTCAAAATTAATGTGAAAATGGCACATGTCATATATTCTATATCGACATATATACTTAGCTTCGGCAACATTTTGTCAAATGTGAATGAAACTTTGTTGTCTTATTTACATTGTTAATTATTGTTCACAAAAAATGTGTTCTTACGTTGATTTGAAATGTGCTTTGTGTGCATGACTTTGTTTAAGCACAATTTTTTTTTTAATTGTTTGCAAATTTTGTTGATTTTGCTGTGCGACTGGCCGCTCTTTTTACAAAAGTGGGTTCAATGAACCAAAAAGCGATTCATATTTAAGAGCTCTCAGCTCTGGCAAATAATTAATCAAAATGTATATTTAAATGCTTTATTTTCGATTGAAGTCTCTTATGAAATGTGCATATCGACAAGCTGAACTAGGGCTATTCGGGTTATCTTTTCATTAGGTGAGCCTAAAAGTATGTTTTCGATTTTAAAGCTAATAAGTGGTAGCCAATTGATTAATTTTAGTATTGACATGCTTTTTATTGAACTTAAGAGAGTATATTTTGTAGAACTAAGAGCTAAGAGCTACTGATTTGCGTTCCTCGCCGTGTGTGCTCGAAGCAAACAAGCCTTGTTTGCACTGCACTCTAAAAAAAACCCCTGTGGAACGCCCAGTCATTCGATGTCTGTCGTTTTGGCCAGCATGAAAATTTCTCATAATTGTGAAACTCGATGGGTGCAAATAAATCTAATTGAAAACACAAAGTGCAAGACCCACCGACCTATAAAAGTGACAACTGTCTAACAAGCAGAAGACAGTTCAGTTCTCGAGTTTAAATTCGCAATATGAAGCTGTGCATTTTGCTTGTAATCGCAAGTCTCAGTTTGTCCTGGGGCTGGCCAGCTCAGCTGGAGCAGGATCAGCTGCAACAGGCGCCTGTCGTGCAGGAGCCAGAACCACAGCAGCAAGTGGACAATACGGATTCCATGGCCACCCTAACGGATATCGCCGATATGGGCAGCCAGCACGCAGAGGAAGGAGCACGTAATGCACGCTTCCTTTGGTTCAGCCCATGGGGATATCGTTCTTATTACTATCGCCCTTACTACCATCCTTGGGGACATCGTTATCATTACTATTGGTGGTGAAACTGATTTAAAAATAAACGCATCAATATCGAGCAAAATAAATAAATTTGCAATTTATAATCTAGTTCTTTGAATATTAACTATGTGGCAACGCCAACATTCATACGCGAATCTATATCATATGAATAACTTGTACAGAAGGGTTAACCCTTGAGAAGATTTAAGTACAATAAATAATAGGTTATTTAAGCCTCCACGATATTTAAATCAACCAAATGTTTGATCTTTTGATTAGCATTTTAAATTTCATAGTGGGATCAAGTGTTCAGTTCTAAAGTAGCCTAATTGAGATTTCACAACATTATCCAACACTTAGTCACAGTTGCAACAATTTGCTGATCCATTATTGCAGGGGCTCAGCTGAAATTCTTACCCAAGCACTTATCGCATAGTCGTGTTAATTGGCTTACAATGCACTAGACGAGGGAATCACAACTTTGTGACGTTGTCAGCACTGAAAAGTGCAATCTCATCGCATAGAGTCAATAACAAATCTGGGATATATACCAACGAACTTTAAGCGTCTATATTATAATTCGAATAATTCATTATTGTTCCAATAATTTTGTTTATCCAGAAAGCTATGCCCAAACAAAATAAACCGGGTTCAGTTGAATAACGCAGTAATCTTATTCTGAAACGGCCAAATTCATAACTGAATGACTTTATTTAATTCAACTTTGTTTATTAAGTATAAACTCGTTCCACCCTGTACTCAAAAATATTTCCTAAGGTGTTTAATTAGCAAACATGTGCGACTATGTCAAGCCCTCTTATGCATTATTTAACGATTACAGGGTATATTCTAGCGATGCAGCCTGCATTTTGTCATCGTTGTTGCTATCGAAATATCAAAGGCGAAATGGGCTGAGTGCAAACAAATATTTTCGCCCACTTCTGTGCAAATTTTTCTCATATATTTTACATTCGATAATTATTATTAGTCGCCTAATTCGTTTTTTTCGGCTGTTTCGCATATTTTTATCAAACTGGCATTTTTAATTGTAAATAAATAAATAGAATGCCGACACGTGTTGCAGGTTAATTACACTCGGTCGCGGGTGGCTTCGAATGTTCTTGACTTTTGTATTATTATTTGCTGTATTGTTGCCAGAGGGAATCCACGTAGGCTGCCCGGCGGCGCAATTCCTTGCGCTCCTCAATTTGATAGAGTTGCGCCTGTTTGGTCTCCAAAAGTATTTGCTTCGTTTCCGACTCACGATGCTGCTCCGAGTTTTCGCTGGCGGGGAGAGAAATAAAAGTTTTTAGTATTATTTAGCTAGTTAGAAGCTTAGCTGACTCACATCTCGCGCTGCTGCTGCTTCAGCTGGAGCAGCTGCTGCTCTTTCCGCTCGCTTCGCATCAGCTGCAGTTGAATCCATTCGATACGCTGATTTTGCGCTGCTTCGAGACGCGACTGCAGCAGCTCTGCCAGCTCCTCGTCCAGCTGGCGCTCCTCGTTGTGCAGCTGCTCTGCCAGTTGGCGGCGGCGTTCCTCCAAATCCTTGGCATATTCTCCAAGTCGCCGCTGCACCTCTCCTTCTATTTGAGCATTTCGATTGCGTCGATTGGTTCGGTTAAGAAACTCGGCAACATGCATTCCGTGGCTTTGTTTGGTCGTTGGTCGGGTTGAAATCCTTGGTAACGAAACATAATGTAAATTAAATTTCCACTCCTGCATGTTAACTCGAAATGTTATGTTAAACTCACTTTTAACTGGTTGCCAACATGCTTGCTGACGAATTGGATTATAAATATGGAATTAATTGAGAGTTTATTCCACCTTGGAGAAATATATCGACGAACCCCTTGTGAAGGTTTTGAAGGTTCAAACCCCAAGCGAATGCATTGTTTTAGCCAGCGCTTTTTAAAAAAGGAAACGATTGAGAGCTTTTAACTTAATCTTTAACCTAGCTAGTCTCAGAGCAACTCTCGGCAGGAAATGAGCTTGCATTCTTTTTAGGGTTTAAAGCACCCTCGAGACTAATTAATTGTATGTGCCATCAAATAATTCGTTTTTTTCCGCGAAACTAAAATAACGATTAATCTAGCTGAATCTTCCATAAAAGGCGCTGGCATTGCGATAGATTGCATCAGTACGGAAATTAAGTTTGTTAAATAGAGGAACGGCTAGAAGATGCGTTTGACCCTGGTGCTGCTTGTTGGAGCTCTTTGCCTGGCCCTCGGCTATGCGCTGCCGTTGGATGATAGTGTCCAGGATAATGTCCAGGATAATGTCCAGGATAATGTCCAGGTTAATGTCCAGGATAATGTCCAGGATAATGGCCTGATAACATTACTGGATCTGGCCGATCAGCCCGAGGGACACGCCAACGAGGGCGATCGAGAGGCGCGAGCCTTCTGCTGTGGTGGATTTGGTCGTCGTCGTGGTTACGGTGGCTATGGTGGCTACGGTCGTGGTGGTTTCGGCTATGGTGGTTACGGTTATGGTGGATATGGCCGTGGTGGTTTCGGTTATGGTGGACACAGACATGGACATCGTGGAGGCTATGGATATTATGGACGCTAGCCTTACAAAAAGTTTTATGTTACTTAGTCGTGCCTATAAATAAGTTAAACTGTGTACAACAATACGGACCGTAATGTAACTTGAGCTCATATTCATTCCACATGTATGGTGAATATGGGCGTGGTGAATACGCTTTTGAAGCTTCTCGACGCTAACCTCACAATTGTTTTGCTTATTTTGTTGTGCTCATAAATAAATTAAACTATGTACAAAAACTTGTCGCTTAATGGGATTTAAGCTTTGTTTTGAGCACTACGTAGCGTAATTTAATTGACTAATAACTCACGGGTGACTCACAGCAAAACAATCAAAAAAAAAAATACCTGCAACCGAAATCTTTGTGAATCTTAGTTCACATAGGTCAACTAATACACTTATCTGAAATCATGCATCACAGCTATTATTGCAAACTTGCATTTGCGAATAGCACCTGCTAATTAGCATTTTCCAAAATTAGTAAAGTACAGCTTATATTAAGTGTAACACATATGACAAATCGGGCGTGAGAAACGAGTTTCGGCTTTCGATTGTTCATTTAAAAAATTTGCATGATAATATGCTCAATTATATGTACATATGTGATTTTAAGATCAACTATGCTATGCACAATTTGGGTTTTACGTGCCAGCTAATTTGTTTTGATAAATGCAACAACATGTCATAAATGATTTACAACTTTGTTTGTTTGTTTTTGGCGTCTCGACCTTAAGTGACCTTAGGTATTCATTTATGGCTACTTAGCCTAGATCTGTTGAACAGCACCTAGTTATTATTCGAGCAGTGTACTAACTACTTACTCTCAAATCATTTCACAACACTGTTTCGAACAGCGTACTTGATTTGTGCCTTCGCCTGTTAAGTTTTACAGCACTGCTTAAAAAAGAGTATGCCTGCACACTCCGGTAATTGCTTTGGTTTAATTAATTTAAATATGTTCCACATTGTCTGAGTTTTACAACATTGCTTCGAACAGCGTACTTGCTTTGTGCCATCGCATCACTTTACAACACTGCTCAAAGTAATTACAACTGGTAATTGCTTTGGTTTAATTAATTTAAATATGCTCCACATTGTCTGAGTTTCTTGATGGATCGTTTAGCTGCTTAATTTTAGAAGAAAACAATAACAACTGCAGCCAGAACAGGTGTAATAATCTTATGGCGATAAATAAATACACAAACATCTCGAAAGTAACAATGCCTGGCTACAAAAAATTAAAAAAAAAACCCCTTCTAATGTGGCTTTGAGTACTATATGACACTTAAAATTAGGTGATGCGTACGAGAACAGGAACGACAACTCAGCTGGTTATTTCCAGGCTTTGATGGCAAATAAAAGGCAGCTGGACCTACGTTGAAAGCATCAGTCACATACGAAAGCTTCAAGCACAACCAACCAAGTAACATATCCACTAGAAAGGGAATCCCAAGATGCGTTTAATACTCTTAGCACTCATCGGCGTGCTCTGCCTCGCCTATTGCTACGCCCTCGCCGAGGAGGAAAGCGACCAGATTGATCTGCTCAACGTCGCCGATCAAGGACAGGCCCATGCCAACGAGGGCAACCGAGAGGCCCGTCAATGGGGCGGTGGCTGGGGCGGACGCGGAGGCGGCTGGGGCGGACGCGGAGGCGGCTGGGGCGGACGCGGGGGCGGCTGGGGTGGTCACGGCGGCTGGGGAGGTCGCGGCGGCTGGGGTGGTCGTGGCGGCGGTGGCGGCTGGGGCTGGGGACGATAAGTCCTTCTGAAGCTATCAACAACTGCCAACGCTCCACAGGCGTCCTAACACAGCGAAAACTTTGTTCATTTTGTGTTTGTAAATAAAGAACATTACAAAAAACAATTTTTAATTCTTTTGTTTTAAATCGAAAGCGTCAAAGATTCAACAGCGATTCGTTGGGTGAATAAACTATAATAAGAAAAAATGATTCAATGTTTTACGATTTTTTCAGAAGTAGAAAATGAGATTGATTGGAATACAATTTGAGCATCATTATATACTTATATGTATGAGCCATATTTAATAATAATGGTATAGTCCGGTCTCATATTTATTTATTTTCCCAAGTCATTTTATTAAATGGAGCGTCTTTCGTATATAAAGGAGACTATTTTTTATTAACATTCATGTTTGCTTTTTTGCTATGTACTTAACAAGAGTCTGGCAACGCTGCAATAGCTTATTAATTTCTGCATGCCTGAGGAGGGCTTGTGCTTAGAATATACACACAAAGCTTTATAAATACTATATAATATATTTATATGTATAACGATATAACAATCGGCTGCGCTCTGAGTGTTTTATGAGCTCCGTCCAGTATATAAATTGAACGTACATCTGTCTTAGTTTTACGAATTATATAGGGTATCTGCTTGCTAAGTTATTTTAATTGTTTTTAATTAATCAATAATTTTTTTTACTGTTATTCGCTTTCTATATAAACAATCCTTAACAAAGCAATGTCGAATACATTGTCTAAACTTGATTTACGAATACATTCGTCTCATTGTTGGCCATGCAATTTATTTACTCGATATACATTCCCCTCTCACACACACACACACACACGCACGCCCACTGTCCAGCTACCAGATCTAATAAATTGCCAGTTAATGTGGTCCACTTGCGCCTTGATTATGGGATGTACATTTGGTAGGGGCAACTTTTGTGATAAACAAATGGATCAACAATAACAACAACAGCAAATGCAGCAAAAGCAGGTGTAATAGGCAACGAAGCATGACAATCAAATAAACAAATATTAAGAAAGTTAACACAACCTGACTTAGAATCGTAAAAAAAAAAACAAGTAAAAGTGCTCCAGTTGGTGTGCACGACTAAAAGTTACCCTAAGCCCAGGGATGAGCTGTTGTGCTGGAAGTGTGCTCCTTGAAGCCTTCGGTACCCATTGTCCGATCTTCATGAGGTTTTTAAGGATAGCCAAAGCGCAGGAATTTTTCTTTAACAAATTTTTTGCTTTACATTTTGGAGGATGTGTCCATAAAGTGAATTATTCTTAGAGAATATATTCTCCGATTGTAAAGATTCGGTCCATTGCATATCCTTGCACAAAAACATCATACCCTATTTACTCACTCGTTCAGGGTATAAGATCATAACAAAGACCCACAGATAATCTATACGTAACTTTAAGTGCTAAGTATGCGAAATGCATTTGGGCTTAGGAGATACGGCCGGGAACAGGAACGACAACTGGATGAATTTTTGACGGCTTGTGGGCAAATAAAGGCCGCTGAATTGCGCCTGTCAGCATCAGTTGAACCGAAAGCATCAAAGCCAAACATTCAAACAACCCAAAGAATACCCAAGGAGTAGAAACAATACCAAGATGCGTCTTACACTTCTGGCGCTCGTTGGAGCTGTCTGCATAGCCTTGAGCTTTGCCCAGCCGTTGGATGACAAGAACGAGGAGCACATTGATCTGCTGCAGGTAGCTGATCAAGGAAACGCCCACGCCAATGAGGGCAATCGAGAGGCGCGGCACTGGGGCGGCTGGGGAGGTGGCGGTTGGGGAGGCGGCGGTTGGGGAGGCGGCGGTTGGGGCCATGGCTGGGGCGGCGGCGGTTGGGGAGGCGGCGGCTGGGGCCATGGCTGGGGCGGCGGCTGGAATCGCGGCTGGGGTGGCGGCGGCTGGGGCTGGGGACGTTAAAACCCTGCCAGGCCAAGCAAAGCAGCCACTGTCATCGACCACCTGTCCAGGAGCCACTGCGTCAAGACACCTTTTGATGTTTGTTTTGTGTGTGTAAATAAAGAACATTTTCAAAAACAAAAAAAAAAACAAGGCATATTCAATTTAAATTCTTAAGAGCAGTTGCTTCTAACCTGTTCCCAGGCGCAGCTCAGCTTGCACTTAAACTGAATTTGTTGAACACCTTCCCAGCTCGGGCATGTCTAAACTGTGTCTAATTTTAATGCCTATAGCTTAATCGAGCTAATTAAAATAATTGCCCGGCAATTTTAGCTCTAATTATTAACGCATTAAATTCAGACTGGACACTGGGTTAGTAGAACTCACAAGGCATTAACCAGAATGAAATATGGTCTTTAGAGTGCAAAAATTAAAACTTTTGAAAATATATATTTTTAAATATATACACTCAAAAAAAATACTTTATAAAGATATTTTCATAAAAAGAGATATACTTATAAGGATATATATTTATAAAGATATATACATATAAAGATATGTATTTATTTAGATATATACTTATTAAGATATATTCTTATAAAAAAGATACACATTTAAAGATATATACCTTTTGCCATGCACGAACTCGTATCTCAGTCTAATAATGACATCAGAGCCAATTAATCTAAAAGTCTTATAATAAGAATATTTTGCTCAAGCCTTAACAGCAAGATATTTTAAAAAAACGAAGAGTTTTCAAAGAAAAAATTAATATCGAATTAAGATATCTTATTAGTACAGACAGAGGGGCAAGAGTTATTTTACTTTTCTATTCACAAGTAATTATGAAAACCCCTCAAGGGTATTAAATTGAAATAATAGGGTTTATACGCCCAACTCTATCCTTTAAGTAGTTGATTTTTTGCCATGTAAACACTCGCTGTGAACCACTGTGCAGCTTTTGTAGTCTGGTATAAAAGCTGAGTGCAGCAAGGACATTCAGTACTTGCAGAATGGAGACTATCAATGAGAACCTGCTCAAGGTGCAGGACACTTACTTTCGCATTCTTGGATTCAATATACTTGCTAGACCAGAGATGTCGGGCTGGCGGCAGCATTGGCGAGCCTTGGGCCTAATGCTCTCCTTGACCATGGTCCAAGCGATGGTTATTGCCTACAGCATACAGAATCTGGAGAATATGGATCAGCTGACAGAGGGTTTGGCCGCGCTGCTCATCAATCAACTGGGCCTGTTCAAGTTCGGCCTCATGATGTGGCTGCACAAGGACTTTCAGCGGCTCGTGGCCAGGCTGCGAGAGCTGCTGACCGAAGGTACCAGTTGGGTAAATTCAGTAGATTCTTAGTGCCTATTCAAGCTTGTGTCCTTTGAAGTGCCTGCCTACATCATCGGCGAGGAGAATCGGCGGGAGCAGCGGCTCAGCGGCATCTACAAGAACTGCTTTATGCTGGCGGCCATTCTGAGCTCCTTGAAAGCCCAGCGTGAGCATGTGCCTCAACTATTGGCGCACGGGTCAGCTGCGGCTGGAGATGACCTTTCCGTGCAGCTACCCCTGGGATAATCAACAGCTGCCTTATGCGCTGCTCTCCTACGCCCTGTTAGCGTCCGCCAGCTTTGCTGTCGTCCTGCCCAGCATTTGTGTAGATACATTTTTTATGGCCCTCATTCATAATCTTGTCGTCCTGTTTCAGACCGTCGCAGCATACGATGCAGCTCTTTCGAGCTGGTGCAGGCAGCGAGGCACAGCTGGGCAAGATCCTTGATTTGTATAGACGAAGCCTGGATCTCAGCGCGGCACTGAATCGTTATTTTCGGCTGCTCATCTGCGTGCAGTTCGTGGTGGGCTCCCTGCATCTGTGCGTGCTCAGCTATACGCTGTTGGTTAAGTTCGACAATGCCCAGATGCCCTTCTATGTGGTATTTACCGTATCGGTGCTCCTCTCAGCTTTATATCTACTGTTATTGCGGCGATCGCCCTGAAGACGGCGAGCACGGGCTTCGCCATGCCATCTACGACAGCCATTGGCATGAGGTCGCCCTTGATTTGGCCCTGGGACGTTCTCTGCAGTTCTCGATGATGCGGGCGCAGCGCGGCAGTCGTATCGATGGAGGCTTCTTCTTTGAGGCCAACATGGAGGTCTTTATCTCGGTGAGTGGTTGGGCGCAACGATTGAGAGTCTGGAGCTGAATTTTGCATGTGCCTAACAGATTGTGCGAACGGCCATGTCCTATTTCGCATTGCTGAGATCCATTTCTAAGGGCACTGAATAATCAACTTTACCTGCACAAATATAAGATACTGCAAAAATACCAAACAACAAAAAACAGTCTAGCAACGCTGCAATAAAGAATAACCTCAAAAGATAGATAACGACAACAAACCAAGAAATTAAAAACATTTCGAGCAATATTCGTTTTATGCGTAGCTTGCGATGTCGTACGACATTTAACAATCAAACTTAAATAATGTACAAAACATATTTTAAACGATTCGTTAGGCGCTAGGTAGATGTGGAAATCGGGAATGTTGGAGAACGTGTGGAAATGCATAAATACACACGGAATGCTGTTGAGAGTGGAAAAATGAAGCAGTGTTGCGTGTGAGTGTTTTTGTGGAAGCGGGAGGAAGGGAGGGAGGGAGTGAGAGAGGTCTGTGAATCAACTGAGCTGCTGCCCTGAACTTCATCCTGGATGCTATCATACAAATATTATATCCAATTAAATATAATTCTCGCTGGTCAATTATCAATTATTTGAAGAATCGGCGGGGACCGGCAGCGGCGGCCGGGCTCACGGGCGGCGGTGTGGGAATATGTGCACCCTCGGCGCGGAAGCCATTCTCATCGGCGATGTAGGTAATCGTGTAGAGCACGCCATCTGGTCCGGTGTACGAGTAGGAGCCTTGCATTACCTGCAAACATCAATTCTGTTATTTTTGCTTTCCTAAAAATAGGCCACACGAGTTCTCGGAACTTTTGCAGCTGCGCCTGAAACTGTGCCATCGAAAACCACCTGAGCCTCCAACTGTGAGCCGGGATTCTTAAGGTAGCCCGCCTCATCAGCGCGAATTCCATTGCTCGTCTCGTAGCTATGCAAGATAAATAATATAGAATACATAAATAGAAAAATGAATAAGAATTTAAATAATAATGCACTTGATATGACAGCTATCCAAATATACTTATATAAAACGCACTGCCTGAATAGCTAATGGAATGCATGGCTGAATGGCATATTGATTATTTCACTAATGAGCAGCCTGACTGACTGATAGAATAACTGAATAACTAATTGATTGCCTGGATAATTGACTGACTGAATAAGCGACTAAGTGATTCACTGACTGAATAATTTACTAAATTATTGACTGAATATCGGACTGATTGAATGTTTGACTGATTGAAAGACTGGCTGATAGTGCCTGATAGAACGCCTGATGAAATGTATGACTGAACAACTCGCTGCTTGAATGTTCGAAAAAGTGACTGACAGCGATTGAATGATTGACTGAGTGATTGATAAGCTGGCTTACTAATTGATTTTTTACTGACTGGAAAAGATGCATTAATGAATGACTGACTGTATGTCCTGACTATCTGAATGACTGACTTCTTTATTGAAGCAGCTTTTCTCAAAGATCCTTCACAATAATGAAGTAATGTATTCCAACCATAACTTACTTGTACTGATAGGAGCCATCCGGGTTCAGATCAAAGTTCTGCTTCAGTATCACAGCATTAGCATCGAAGGAGTTGGAGCGCGGCTGCGCCAGACCGCGCTGCGGCTGAGCTGTGACGAAGCACAGGCAGCAGATCGCAAGGGCGGCGACAGCGTAGGCGGAGGTGAGCAGCTGCATGACCTTTTCGGGGGAGAGTGGGGTCGATAAACAAAACAGATGATTGGTTAATTGAGACATAACTGAGATATGATAATGTCAAGCACCGTTCGAAGTGCTCAGTAATTGATGCCAATAATAATTGGCTTTAATCTTTGCATTTTTCGAAAGTCATCTTTAAAGTGGCAACAAGAAGGCCGCCCAGCTACAAAAAATATGTAGATGTGTGCATTTTATTTAATAGCAGTATTTTAGCTATTATTAA